TCAAATAACATCAAAAACACAAAAATGTTTGGCTCACAATACCTCATTATTTATGTATAAAGACTGTCCAAGTTCCTCCAAAGTTAACAGCTAAATTTGAACGTCTGGACTGCTACTGTAATGTCTATACCCGTTTCACAGGCTAAATCTTTACCACTGGGCATATTACTGGGTATTTATGTTTTGAAATTTGAGAGAACTGTAAATATCATGGCAACAGACTTCTAATATAAACTCAAAGTATGTCTGTTATTATATCCTTTCATGGACACTGGAAACTTAATTGTTTCTCATTTTGACCTGAAGTAAAGCAGCGCTGTCAAAAGCATGAAATTAACTTGCTGCTGAGAGCTCTGTAGTACAGTAGTACCAGGCAATCTCGAAACTGTCCATCTCAGCACCAACTTCCCTTGTCCATGCTGCATAATTACACTCACTGGAGCTGCATTACCTTACAATGTAACAAATGAAGTCTGTACTGCATCTGTCACCTATCTGAGACGACTTCACTTAGTCACGTCATTTTCCCCTCATCCCTCATAAGCATGGCTAATAAAATGTAAAGATGGGAGATAATACACCGCTGACTGAGTTTTATTAAGAACGTAATGACAATATCATTGTTGTAATGATACTAAGACATCTAAGATGAAGGGCGGACCGGCGTGCGGAAGTGAGCGTGACATCACAGGGAAAAAGTACGTCCTGCTCGCTTTATTTCATTATTGGTTAAGCTTCCTTATTAGGGACAGGGGGCGAAGCAGCGTTGCCTTTGATAAAGCAAGGCAATTTCAGGAGCTGCTACGGTGCCAAATTACAGTTGTACATCATGCAGCTCTCTCTCTCTCTCCCTCTCTCTCTCTCTCTCTCTTTCTCTACTGCTTCCACAACTTCTTTTCTCTAGCTCTCTCTATCTGGAAGGACTCTGTACATGGTGTTGATCTCAATGTTGCCTGCTCTGTGAAGCAGAGAGACTTGAGAGAAGAGTGAGGGACAACAGCTGAAACAGCAGACAACAGCCCCATCTAGAGATTGTATTCAGTCACTGGATTACTGAGTGGATATTAAATGATTCAGGTGCACTAAAAGTTGATATAGTTCACATTGAGTTAGGATTTCACCAGTCTGTTCAATAAAATGTTGACTCAACTTATACTGGGCATTTTGAATTGCCTAATAATCACTTTAAATTCAGCAAGGGTCGCTGATGTGATTTTATCATGATTATACTATTTGATCCCATAGACACAGCCTTTAAACCAAGATAGCCTTATATTGCTGTTTGACATCACTTCTAACTACACCAAATAGTTTTTAAAAAAGGTCTGTCCAAAGGCATTTATCGGTTTTCTGACACTGAATGTTCCCCAAAACTACTGTATCTCAGAACCCTCACAAATGTGGGCTATTCTATGTGATCTGCTTTTGATAAGTAATGCAATAAGTAATGTAATATTGTTTCACTTCCATTCACTGAGCCTCCCCTGAAACTGTTTGAAGCCCCCCTTGGGAGGCCTGCCTCACACTTATACTGCCATCTGTAATCTTGTGTCATGCATTATGGGACACAGTTTACACACTTTGGTTTTTGCTGCTTCATGTGCAATAACTGCAAACTGGTAACAGTTCAACAACCACCCAGTTTCATTCCCTCAAGTGTAATTTTTGAATTTCACTTTTTATTGCAGCTTCATTGGCTCCTCACTTTATTTGTGACCTTTTTGTCTCAATACACTCACTGGTTACTATTTATGATGGTGTATTTGGTACCTTTTAGTTTTCATGCTTCACTTGTATGTAGTAGATGTTCATAATTTTAAATTTACTCATCTGTGCATCTGTTCTTGTGTGGTGACACTTGAATTTCCCTGTGTGGGATCAATAAAATCTGTCCTTTTCATCAACATTAAAAGGACAATATAGACTACAATAGAAAAGTTTTTGACCTTCAAACCATCATAAACATGACCGCGCCCCTTCTCTGAATATGAAGTGACTTGCAGATCAACAAACCATCAGGCTGACAGGCCTAACCTATCTGCCATTAGGCCGTTGAGATATCACACTTTGCCTTAATTCACCATCTTTCAGTGGTGTCACACTTTATATTCCCTGGCATGGGTAGGCTACATGCGGATGCATAATTTATCTCAAATTAGCGCCTATTTGAGTAAGCATCAAAGCAAGGCGGCTAAGGTTGGAGGAGAGCTTAAGGAACCGCAGGGAAACCATGGCCAGGATTAATGCGGGAGATTTTTATAAGAAATTACTGGCTTAATGAAGTGGATAAAAAAGCTGTCAGTGTTTTATTGCATCTAAATTGTGTGGAAGTGGTGTTTAGCTGTCTCGCCTACTCCCCACATAATGGGTCGTGACAGTAGCTGTGAGGCTTATTTAACTTAACTGGTGAATAACTTGTATGGCGAAGCTATTCAGAGAATTGTTTTTATACTAAACCAGTAAGGGTATTTTTTCCCCCTCTTTCTTCTCACTCATCATAATGCCATATGAACAACAGCCAACTCAAGAAAACTGACAATTGTATCTAGTTCCATATTAGAGAATCACTTAAAAAAATACTATTTTGAGCATTTTAGCAAAGGCTGAAAATGTCATTTTGACTGTTAACATGTAGAAAATACCCAGGCAACATGAACTCGACTACAAATTGGACATGAGCTAAAGCCTATATTCTACATCAGGGCTGAATAATCCAATTTACTTTATTGTCATGCTCATTCTGAAGGCCCAATAACGGAAACAGGGGTTCTCTCTACTACTCACTGTGGTTACAGAAACTGTTGACATTTATAGCCATATTTAAAGGGCTGTATAATTCACCATACAGGATCAGCAAATGATGCACGCTTACTGTAAATTTAACAAGAATGAAAACAGATATTGGGCTTGGAGAAGGGGCAAGAATGAATAATACACTGTGGGGAACATTTGACTAGTCTTATGGCGCCATCTTGCGTTTGCTTGTAGGTTTGCATTAGATTAGATGGTAAGCAAAGGGCCATTTCAGAGCACCAATTCATTCTGCCTCTAACCTTAAAACATTACCTAAGACTGTTTTTCATTAGAGGTTTTACAAATATACCCAGATAAGTATTAAGATGATTTGGTGTCTTTTGATCTGATGTCTTTTAATTAACTTTATGTCGACAATTATGACACTGACAAAAACAAAATGTAAATGCTCATTTATTTCACATGGTATAGCATCACAATACATGAAATCATCATTCATCACAGTTCTGCTGTGCAAGTGCTTATTTTTAGGTGACTGATAACGACTGGTCGACAGGTTGAGAAGGTCTTGGGTCTGTTTCAAGAAGCAAGTTCACAGAGTTACCTGAATAACTTTGCAGAATAAAACCCCAAACACCTTCAAATCTGGAACAAAAACGTTTTACAGGCGTTTTACTCAGCAAAGTTATCAGGATAACATGTTAATCCTACTTTGTGAACCCCACATCTCACCCTTGATATAAACATACAGAAAATGCAACATCTTGTGTCGTAATGGCAAAAGTAATGAATTTTGGTCTTTTTCTCCTCCTTTGTGTTTTATTTTCTGGGTTAGTTTCATTTTCACTTTCTACCTTTGAGTACAATGAGCAGTGTTACAGCAATACAAGTTGTCAACACACCAATGTATGCATGCTTGGAATGGGTACATTTTGTTCTTGTGAATCCCGCTTAACAGAGCCAAACTCAATACAAAATATGGGTTAATAATTTGGGCACGACTGAAACTGTAGGTGGAAACATGCTAGTTTCAGCCAGTTCATGTCATCTTCCCATAATGTCATAGAAAGTCTATCTGGGGTGTGAACTCCTCAATCAGTCCTGCACCTCAACCCCACCTAATACATTTCCTTCTTACATGGCTTATTTTCATCATTTTACCGTTTCTGAATCATTTAATCATTTTGGCAGTGCTTTTGCAAAGACCAAACCCAAACTCATTTTTACAACCTATCATAAAGTCAAAGTTGAATTTTCAGTGGTGCACACGCAGAAAAGTTAATTCCACTGATTCAAAAGAGTTTAATTATGCTAAGCTGCTGTTACTGAGAAGAAGGCTCTTTCTGTAAAGGTCCTTCACCAGTACAGAGAAAGGGCCCTGTCTGGGATCTAATCACACCTTTTCACGGACATTGATACACACACACACACACACTCACTCACTCATGCATACACACAATATATACCTGCATACACACACACACAAAACTACGATAGATGGACAGCACAATCCCTTTTCAGTCTACTAACAACAAAACCTTGTTTTTCCCTTCACAAGTGAAACCAAAAAGCGAGTTCTGGGCAGCATTCAGGTAGGGTGAGGTGAGTGGTAGTGAGAGAAAGCTTGCACTGCAGACAAGCTTTATCTACATAAGGCCATCTCTGAACATGTGTGGGTTACGACTAGCGGTTCACATCCACCATCTTTTCCATCAGCACAGAAGTGGTCGGGGTGGGTTCATCACTAGACAGATTCCTGAAAACTGATATCACAGTTTGTCCATAGCAAGAGGATACAACAAGAGTTTGTTTTTACTCCTCACATTGTTCATTTCAGAGGGACCAGCAGCTAATTATCACAGCCTCTGACTGCTTTAAGAAATCCAAAGAAAGATCTCGAACCTCTTCTTGTCCAGGTGCAGTTTTACTCTCTTGATTTCCTCACAGCTAACACAGTGCCTTGCATTCACCTCAAACGAATGCTTGAATTTCCCTTCCATCTTAGCTTGAGAAGTCTGACCAGTCCAGTGTGCTCCAGTGCTGTCTTACACACTTGTGGCTCAAGCCGTCTCTCAGTACTTTAGGTGCTGGGAGCAAGGCATTGTGATTTGCGCGCAGGTGAGCCCCAGTTGAGTAGTCTTTCCTCTACAGGCTCTCCTGGCCCCTCTCCATCTTTCCTTTCCTCTACCCTCTTTTTAGTTTTTTGTTTTGCATCAGTGTCTAGACAGTGTTCCGCGGCGTGCCATTCAGTGCAACAGCCTTGGTGCAGGGTGAGCCAACCGCCTGCGAGCCCAGTGGACGCTGGGTGGAAACGCCCCCTCGAATACTTCATGGATGGCCTTCCGGAAACAATGGAAGTTGTAGTCTATCAATCCTAAGTAGGCAAGAAATATACAACAGATGGATTAGAGACATGTATGTCTTGCTTTGTAACAATATGCACAAAGAAAGTCTGTCAAAAGGCTTAATGTTTCAAACATGCTGCGGGTTGGGGGGTTAATAAACATGAAAACTGAAGGGAAAAAATGCAGTCAGTTGGATCATGTTAGGCTCTTAACTATTGTTTGCAATGCATTGCAAGAAAAGTCTGAGGAAAGGTAGTGATAAAAGAATCTCATAAACTAAGTTGTATAATAATTTTCATTCATCCCACTTCCCCTATATAAGTCCGTGCTTTCATCCCCATAAATAAGGTATTTTGTTAATCCCAAAAGCAACTTCTACATGACAAAGACAGAATAACAATGTAGTCCAATGCAATACCCATTCACAACATTTGTAAAGCTTATAATGTTTTCTCCCTCTGGAAACTGACAGGTGTTGATTTAACTCTATAGTCAAGGTTATCTCAGTTTGAGCTTGTGACTTTATAAAGAAAGCCAGTGTTACAAACTGGGCGAATAGAGGATATGCTTTTGAGTTTCTTTATAAAATGTGTAGGATCCATATTAGTGGCTACAAGTCAGCATATCTCCGCATCTGCTGCATCATCTTTTTAAACCAAAATCTGTGCACTATATTAAAGTGCAATACTAAGTTGTTGGTTCCATTTAATATACTTAAATGAAAATATTACAATGTATATGTACCTCTGTATACATGTAAATCCAGCCTCGCTGCAGTGCTAGAATAACGTGGAAGAAAATATGAAAGCACTTGACTCAAGGCTGCATCCTCATTAGCCAAATTAAGCCAGATGAGCTCCAGGAGATCTCAGATTTCCCTGACAGTTTACCTTTGCGCTCGAAGCTTTCCTCTCGCAGGATGCAGACAAGGGCCAGGAACTTGGTGACCTCTTTCAGGTACAGCACAGTGGTGTTGTTGAGCTTGATGATGGCCATGGACTCCTTGTCGTAGGCGCTGCCGCTGCCGTCCTCCCTCAGACTGTTGTGGCATAACACAACACATTAATGTTCAGGGGAAAATGTGAAAAAAAATTCTAGCATTCGGATTACTTAAGCAAATAAATGCATAATGAAGTTCAATGAAAGCATTATTAGACAACACATGGGTGAACTCTGTATCTTTAAAGCATTAAGAATTTATAGAAAGTTAATTGAAAATCTACCTCCCTTTGGTTTTTAATTCACTTATTATAAAGTTTAAACTTACATAAATCTAAACTGCATCTGAATGACAGGAAGAGCTGAAAACAAAGCCATAACCCAACTCTGACTGCAATTACTACTGTTAAAATAAACAAATAAAAACGCACTCACCCATAGATGCAGGAGACGTCAATGACCACATCAATCATATCACAGCACAGCTCATAGGACTGCATGTCTACAGGAGAGCTGTCTGTGGCAATGTAGATCTTACTGACCACATCAAACAGAAAGGCCTTCTCTATCCCTGAATTCTGGCAGTGACAAATATTAGGCGACGAACAACAGAGAGGGAGAGACAAAGGAAAGATATATAGATATAATAATAAAGAAGCAGGGTACTACTATCTGATGAGTTACACTGGACATATGTCCACAGTAAGGGTGGGTGATATGATGACAAATGTGAATGAGATGATACTAATTTAGCAGCTGTCAGACATTTTACTGGGCAATAACTAACTTTTTGGATCGTTTGGTCTTTAAAATGTCAGACAAAAGTGAAATCACATTTTCCTGAAGCAGAAGTCATACAAGACCAAGAAAACTGGCAAATACTTACATTTGAGAATTTGGACCTGGTGAACTTTCTAATTACTTAAAAAGCTGAATGAATTATGAAAATTGTTGCCAATTAATAAATAAATAATATACGACAAACGCATAATTGACTAATTATTTCAGCCCTAGATTTT